GTGTGTATCGGATAGTTTACATGTGAAACCATTTGATGAATAAATCGAATCAGTGCATATGAAGTTGAGACGTGTGTGTTTAACCCCTACAGAAATAATATAAAATCACGAGGCATAATTCTTCTTATATTAATATAATAATGTAACATTTAGAAGCCTATTATTAGTTTGTAAATAATATAAAATCACGTAGCAACCCATTCCTATATTATTATAACAACAAAAATGCTCTATTTTTAGTTTGAAAATATGACCACGTAACAACCCATCACTCTTATATTACTCAGTAGTCTACACCCTTGGACGTATATATTGTTCTCATATGCATGCACTATTTGGGAAGCAGTTAGTTCATTGTGCATTCATTCATATAAACAATTTTTTAGCGGCACCCGGGAAATCGGCGAATTATTTCAGCTAAAATGGATTTTTTTTACAACATTTCGATCAAATGTTACTAAGCTAAGTACCGCCTTTTTTCATTTGTTTTGGTCGTGTTTCGAAGGGTAGCAGAGGTATGTCAATATCCGGAATGCATAAACTGTCATTATCAGGAGGAAATATCATGATTAGGCGGCCACATTTGATTGCGAACTACAACCACTTATCGGCTGAACCTTTGCAAAAATGCCATGCAATAGGCCCATTTAGCTTATTCGTAACTAAGGTTTCTGTTCACAGTCTATTGTATAGAACGATCTGAGCCGTTTCTGTTTCTATTACAGACCACGTGTCTTCATTTGATCGTGAATGAAATTCTTTGTTTTAGCTGTATCGATACGATATTTGTGTTTTTTCACATGGCAACCGTTTATACACTAGGGAATGAATGGCACGTGGTCTGAAATGGGAAAACTGTTAAAGACTGGTGAAATCGTCGGTTTGACCCGGATAAGAAAACTCGACAAAGGTCTGATTCATGAAGAAAATTAAGGACTATTTCTATGTAACGACAATACAATACTCCCATTTACAGTGCGACTACCGTAAACAAGGACGCCCGGTCAAATTTTCATACACATTAGCCAATCACGATCGAGTATTTAATAACATAATCAAAATTTTCATATTTTTTCCAAGGACGGATCCAGATGGGGGTGGGGGG